AACGCCCTAAGAGGTGGGTCGTTTCGTACCCGTATGCATTGAATTACCATCACACGAGCTAGATAACTACGCTACTATAGCTATTGTTTGTTCTTTATAGATTTCTGCGGCTACAAGGGCTACTCTATATGCAACGAGAATAACTCTTGTACCCGTCCATACGTAAATGACCTTGTACGGGTACGTTCCGTTTTAAATTGCCAACAAGAAAGCGGAAGGACTGTTAAGTTACGTACGTGTTTGAACACGTACGGTGGACTGAGACTACCAGCGGTTCGTTACTATATGGCTGTGTACTAGTTCGATATTTATCTCGTAGCTACCGAAGTAAACAGCGCAGGCAGATAGGAGCTGGAGCTGAATATGATCGCAAGTATCAAGCTACATTCGCGATGAACTGACGTGGCATGGATGAACTTATTATTATAACTTAATCCATACAAACAGTATGGATTAAGTATGATGATATAGCATACAAGGTGTACCGAGACGGCATTAAATACAACGCAATTATACCTTTCTGCCTTACACTGGGTCTAAATAAACTTCTAATAACTGGGACAAACGATAGTTTTTTTTTTTTTTTTTTAAGAAAAGGGGAAACTGATCGTGTTACTTAAATGATAATTGTATGCTTTCCGAGCTCGTAGTCAAATTGCTTGTTTCTAGCCGATACACATTGAGCTGTTAATATATAATCGCTTAAGTTTATCAAAATTAATTTTGGTAAATAAAAAAAAAGAACGAAAAGGTTTATTTCTCGCTTAGTCTTCGTACCTTCTATTTTTTGGCGACTGAAACCATTCGCACTTTCCCTTCTTCTCCAATGAAACTTGTGCGGAGATCAGTGCTATGCCATTTTGTTTTTTTAATAATATTTTGTGCAAATATAAGCTGCAACTTGGCGTGAATCTACATAAGCCTCATAATAATAATAATAATAATTGTCACTTTGTTTTTTTTTAATCAAATTTCATCGGTTCATTGTAAAAGATACACGTTTGCCATAATCATCCCTTGAGTTTATGAAGTACAGATATATAAAGACTATTTGTCCTAGTTGTCCTAGTTGTCTCCTGCTCAAAAACTTTGAAGATGAGGCGTGGCATTTTATATAGTGCGGCGAAAGTCAGCCAATTTACGAATCGTTCATATTTTCCTTCGATCTCCTTAATAATCGAGCATTGCTTGTGAGCCCTCTCTACCGAGTGATGTGTAGAAAGAGGCAGAGGCCGTAATAGGAGTTTCCGTTTAATGTGCTAGTTTATAGAGGCTTAAGAAAGCTTAGCATTAGGTTTAGCAAGCGTCTGAAAACGGTATGTTCTAGCTTGTACCTAACGCGCTGTTACTTGTCTGCCACTTTAAAACCGCTCGCAGTTCCGCATTCGGTATCAATTGAATGGGTTATAACCGTCACCAATCTACACCGCTGCAATTCCCCTAGTAGGCAGGCCCGCATTCGTCAAATAAAGATAGATCACTATAAACCACTTCTTTGTACCAAACCTTTGAGAAGATCCTCAGAAAGTATATCGATAGTATAGCTTGATACAACTAGTTCAGAATAGACACATGTATCTATGTATACGGGCAGAGTGTACACTCGTGTAGCACACTGTAGTCTAATTTACTATTTTATTTGTACAAGGAGCTGCTCGTAGCAGAAGGCAATATTTGTCTTGTCATGATCTGTGATCGGCAAATCGAAAACCAATTGGGCCGATAACGCCTATCAGTGCGCTGCTTTATAAACTTTTCAACTAAACAACACGTTCCAATCATATCTGATATAGTCCCATATATATGAAAACAAAAGTGCTCATAATTTAGAATTGAGTCGTAAACGACTGTGCGGTTACGGCGACTTCTAAACACAACGCATAGTCAATAAAAGCTATCCTACACTCAGGAAGTGTCTCCTGTACTTCGCTCAAGCTCCCCTCTCGTCTCAATCGTTTTCGTTCTTTTTACTTTTGTTTCTTTTGCTATTCATTTTATTCCTGTTCTTCCAGTTCTGCTTCTGCTGCTGCTGCTGCTGTTGTTGTTTCTGATAATGCCAGCGGCGGTGGCGACTGATGCTATTCCTCGATTCCGTACCCGAAGACGACAAGTTACTGAACAGTAATGTGGTTAGTGTAAATAGCGATGTGTAATTAATTTGGCAACAACGAAATTGTGATTGACGAGGTCCAGCATGAAGTGCCCGTCCGGTGAGCGTCCGACGATCTTCGCCGACGCTGTTGAAATCTCTGTCGAAGCAGGAAAAGCAGCAGAAAGAAACGGTGCCGAAGCAACGATGGTCAGTGAATAGCTAGATCTTCCCTATCTGCCCAGCGGAACCGCCATCATGGCAACACTGATGACCTTCCACCTGTAGTAAAACTGCTGCAACAACAACGATAACAACAACAACAACAGTGGCAGCGACGATAAAGCGATTGCAGAAGGGAATATACTGCTAACGCAGACAGAAAGCGTCCTCCATATCTCGTGCGTCGCGTTATTACCACTGCTGTTGCCGCCTATCCGCCGTCCTCTATCTTCTCTTCCGGTTCAACGGCGATGGGTGACTGAAACTCGCGTGACGGTTGTCCGACCGTTCTATCTCCGTGGGTCGCTTCATTCGCCCGTTCTTTTGTCGGATTACCCATCAAAACTTTGAACAACAGCAGCAGTGGCGGTGTCGCTGCTGTCAGAGCCCCGCTTTTGATTATCCTGTGATCTTTACCCCACTGTACAATGTTTTCTCTCTACTCTGCAGTGTTATTCAGTTTTTGGCTGCTTCGACTAAAGCTAGCACCTTTAGCAACGGCACGAACGCAAGGTATGATACGTTTACCCTTCCACTTCAGAAAATCAGTTTTCTGCAAAAAAAACGGCGACGACAAGCGCAATATTCAATTATATTATTTATCTGATGGCGCATTTATATGAAGTCCGGCGCGATCAGCAGAAATTGTACATTGTGGTTATGGAAGTCGGAACTGAATGAATGGTCTAGTCCGCAGTCGAGAGGCTAAAATGAAACAAGCAAAAGGATAAATCACAACCAATTTGGTAACCCCATCACAGGCAGTTGAATATAGAAGAAGCGTTTTGGTATTCTTGTTAAGGGCACGACGGCCGAAAATCGGTGCATACGTGACTACAAATATAGATCGGATCGGACACACATTAAATATTGCAGATGCAAGACGCTAGTTCTAGATGGAGGCTTGGGCCATCGATTGTGATTGGGAACATCCCACACGAGACAATTGTGTTGGCTGTTGACGTAGGTCGTAACCGCTTCTCTTAGGAAAAGGCGTTAGTGAAATCGACAGGTTCGTACCTGAGCACAAGGTCAACGTAAAAGCATTAGATTATCCCTAAATTTTATTCAAGCAATGATCGATGCCTTAGAACTTTCGTAACAGTCTAATAAATAACCATAAGAACACCTCATCTGTTTGTTTTTTTCCATAAATGTGTATAGTTTTTTTGAACGAGTCGTTCAACATGTGCAACATCGTACGACTATGCATAGCGGTTTTCAGGTTCACATAAAATAAGCATCGTATTCTGTGTTAAACCTCACTCGTTATTTGTTACGCTTTGCTTAGGGCTTCTCTGCTTTGTTTGTGAGCAAAAGATAGTTTCGGCCACGTACGTGCCAGACGGTCGCGACACCAGCAGGGTGCAGCAATCATACAGTTGCTATACAGATGTGCATTTTTTTTCCACTGAAACAGTAGTTTTTTTTTAATAATTTCCTTATCTGACGTGCTTATGTAGCGCCAATGCCTATCGGACTAAGTAGCCACCTGTATTTTTTTCCTATTTTGACACTCGTTCCTGAACTTGTTCATAGTATTTTTGTAATCGCCTGTGGTTGGGGTACGTTCGAAAGGCATTTTTTTGTTGCCAGCTTCTCCCTCGACGCCGCTGTACCAGTGCACTGATCAATAGAGACGGTCCGTTGGTCTATGATGAGGATACGCGTATGTGCATAGAACAGCGTTTTCGTATTAACATTATTGATACTTTCGGGTATTCGTCACTCCTTAGCTATCCAGCTATACGAGGATTGTCATTTGGTAAAGAGAGGATAGATACTATCAATATAAGTGACAAACATTTCTATGCTTACGTTCAATACTTTTAGAAACTTAAGCATGCTAGAGGTATACATCGTCCCCCTCTCTCTGCTGATACGGCAGGCCCATTTATCCGATTTCGGTTCTGTGTTGATAGATTAAAAGATTAGGTTAAGAGCACTGCGGTAAAGAGCTCTCGTCTAACTTCAACTCATGACGTGACGCTCGAGCTCGATGTGCCGCGCGACGGGACTCAAGTTTTGACAACAAAAAAAAACGTCCACGTCGATGAGTTTATTTGTGTGGGCTGCCTGCGGTTCAACGATTGCATAACGCAGAATGCATTAAACTGTACTAGGCGACCACCTGCGCAATTGAATGTCGCCTATAAGAAGAAAATGCCGCTGATCCATGATAATGCAGCGGAGGTTAGCCTATTGGTTCAATGACATTATCTATCTACGGCTACTGTTAGTGCTAACCTCTTGTCCGGCTCGTAAACAAGACCGTCGAAATAATTTAGAAATTTTGAAGATATTCTCTGAGACACTTGAGAATTCTGCAATTATAATCCGCGATTAGTTTGACTGACGGTTCGTTGACATTCGTAAAGTGAAAGTTCTCGCTTCGTTTTGTTTAGACGCTTTAGCGTAATCATTGGCTAGCTAATTATCACTGTATTGTTCTCTAGTCGCGTAATAGAAATAGGAGCTCGCAGCTCCAAGCCAAGACTCGATTCGAATTTTTCGAAACTATACATGTCACGTATCTGTCATGCTGCGTTATGCAGGTGTTGTTTAACGCATCGTTTCTACTAGCTCGGACACTATTTCTAGTCACATTCGCCGATCTATTGCCTATTACTCAACGCATGCGATTGTATACTTGTTTATCATTGTGTTTACCTGTTGCACTTATTTACAGTTCGTACGTGGGCGATCCACACGGCAACGACCCCATTTGTGCAGTGGAAACAGCCACTGCGGATCAGACAGCCGCGCATTTTGCTCCTCACCGTGAGGTGTTGCCTGCTGGAGAAGGCCACGCGGCCGCGAGCCCACTGCACGGTCCTCAACCTGTATCTTCAAGGCATCCGCCCGAACGACTGGCCGAACAAGTGCCAAACCATGTAGGCATTATTCCTTTAACTAGTCCACCGTACCACTCGTTACAATCCATCCAAAGCCTTCCTCACCTCCATGAACCGTATCACGCACCTACAGTGGCAACCATTGTCTCCAATGGCGATGTCTACTCCCAGCTTAATTGTAAGTTACTTGTTTGCGTGGCAAAAAGTGTTCAGGTTTACAGATCAGTCTAAATAGGATTTGTCGCCGTTGTAAATTGTCATTTTTTATGAACTACTATTTTCTATTGCCTTTGCTATAACACTCCTTTGGCAAGGTTTGGAAGCCATGTACTTACTGTGTGCGGTAGTCTCTACGGCAAGCGGTCGTACAAGCCGCTTCAGAATGGAATAGAATAGAAATCGCATGCTGATCATTACTAACCGGGCAGTGAATCTTCCAGCCGACACACGTTCAGGCGTTCTCACGGACTATCCTGGGGCAGCTTATGACGCTTCATATTATGAGAATTCCCCGTACACTGACATGGTTAGCCCGCCACCGATTACTTCGCATTCTGATGTTAAGCCTACCGAAGAGGAGCTCTGGCATTTCCGTCAAAGGAAGGAAAATACTCAGCCGTACGTTTCCAGTTGTTGTGGGCCGTATGACAGCCCAACACAGATAATGATGACTACAAATGCCGGCGGGCTTGTAGCTGGTTCGGATTTCGAGCCGCAGCCAAGCACTAGTCATGACAATACCATCGCCCCCCTAGCAACACCAACCGAGGACCGACGGGAGTCCCCGCAGGGTCCAACGAAAGCTGGACGGCCGACGCGGATAAAGCGCGAACCGGTCAGTAGGCCCTGAAGGAAATAGGTTTAAAATACTTACTTATCGGACAAGATCACATCAATTCAAGCAAGTTAAGAAGCAACAGAAAAGATAAAGGGAGATTTTCGTAACTAGAACTCACTCGCCTTAGCACGAATTCCTTAGCTGGAATCATTAATCGACCCCATAATCAAAACTTGAAAAGTTTCAAGTTGTAACCCTTCTTCTTTTTCTTCTTCTTCTTCTTCTTCTTCTTACATATAAAACGCGCGTGCTTTGCTCATCCATGTGAATTTCACAGTTATGCAGTGAAAGCAGTGTGGGCAGAACCGCCCCTGATGATCTGGCACGCCGTCTTCGAAGGCGGGAACGAAACAAGGTCGCTGCAGCCAAATGCCGAAGCAAAAAGAAACGGCAACAGGAGCAGTTAACTAAGGACCATATCTATGTACGTAAAATCAATAACACAACCTTGCCAGTGTTTGTGTAACACTTCAACTTTCATATTAACGAATTATAAAAGAAACTTTAAATTCAACGGGTAACACCACAATAATAATCGAGGCACAAATAGATCGCGGATAGATTATATTGCATAGGGTAAAAATAAACCATAAACAGTTCGGTAAACGGCATTGGTGTACGATGTTTGCGACAGCTGTTTGACTGTCTATTGAACTGGTTATTTATATTATTTTTCTTTTTTGTTTTTCGTTACCAGACCCGTCACCAGAACGAGGCGTTGCAGCGTGAAGTAGCCAATCTGAAGGCCAAAGTGCAGGAACTCCGTGACCAGTTGACAAACCACAATTGCTGTTTGATCGGAGACGGTCAAACATCTATCCCGGCCTCCGTTCCTGTCTCAACGCCTCCAGTAGCGCCCATGGCCAGCGCGGCCGTATCAACCCCAACTTCCCTCGGTTATTCAACAGGGATTGGGAACGCAGCTGGCAGAAATGACATGCTTCATCAGCATCCGACACAAGAGCAGATGGCGGGACGGAACAACTTCTCGACGCAAAATACAAACCAACATCATCCTCAGCAGAGTCCGCAGTCTCAACAGGTAACGATATAGTTGAAAGCTTACGACATTCATTGCGGATGCATGCTTGTCGTCAGCAAGGTTTTACCAAAAGGAGACGAGGAGCAGACACGTATCTCTAGAGTTTTTGTGCGCACCTCTTTCTGTGTAGTTATATTGTTATGCGAATGGCCCGCGATCGTTTAAATGTACTTAGTATATTTTATCTGCTGTAGCTTAAGAATTCTCTATTTTAACGTTTTGTAGCTGCAGCCCGACAGACAAGTCTGGCCAGTACACGACAATCCTTGGGGAGGATCGATGATGGGTTAACAGTACGCCTACCACCGGTCTTCGAAAGTCAGTGACTGCCTGAATACAACAAATTTGCAAACAATAATAATCTCGAAAAATGCATTAGTCAGCAAGAACGGCTTCGGCACCAACAGCAGGACTCTCTGTATGTGTACCAATCAAATTTCTCGTTGAAAATTGTTGTTAGCAGACGGTTCAGTTCGAACTGAGATCTGATGACCTATTAGAGGTCTACGATATCAATTAGATAATAAATATAACCGCTTCGAAGATAAACATGCTATCTGCTACTAGCCACCGAATTTACTAGCTTCATTTATATAATCAAATATTATATTTTAATTAGGTTATTATGTTAGGTAAACGATAAAGCTAACTGAAGACGGACAACTTGAGTACGTTTTTAAAAAGTTAATTAGAAAAATGTGCACATTTTTTTATCAGCCGGTAAGCTTGATATTATAAGTTTGCCTCGATAGATTGGACAGACGAAGAATGGGATCTAAAATAAGAAACAGATTTTGCCCTTAGGAGAAATTGGCAACGAGACCGAATTGGCTAAGTTTCTTGGCTGGTTGTTAAGTGTTTAGAGGAAAATTCAAATTATGCATTGCTAGCACTATTACTATATGGGCTGACGCTCTGGTCAAGGCAAATCACTGTGATTTAGACAATTTGTTTTTGACTGAATAGCATATTTCAGTGAGGTTTAAAATATTTCGAAAAAGCATCATGCCGAGACAGTGCCTAAGTAGAACTGGCCCGTTATTCAAATTTGCCCGCCTTCAGAAAGCGCGTATGCCGTAAATAATTGTATAATTCCTGTGACTTTTCAGTTCTCACATCAGTTCTGCTCACAATCGCGTAGCTCTGGATGCTGCAAGCACGGAACAATATACCATCTGTACACCTGTCATATACAACACAGTTGTTCGTCAAAACTAATTATTTAATTTGTGTCTGGAGAACGAATGTGGCATTGCATAGCCTAACATCAAGCTTTAATTGATCAGATGGCAAATGATTAATGAAAACCCATAGGCCGCTAACATGACGTGGTCACAACATAGCACAGTCGCTGTCGACATTGTGATCAGCTGTAAATCAAACTCTGACTTTGAAATTGATCACTGAACTACTGATTATTATCAGCGCTAGAGTCTATGAAGATTCTACTGAAGCATGATGTCAGGCGGACATGGTTACTACTAATGTTTTTCAATACAATGGAAGAACTCTGATCTTAGATTAGCTTGCACTCGAAGAACACACAACATGACTCGAACATAAATGGGCTCATATAAAAACGTAGAAGTCGTAATATATGCTTAACCAGAACCTGTATAGGCAGCGTAGCTTCTGCAAGGGCGCCGCATCGATTTCCTACGGTGCCGAAAACGATCGACTTGTTATGGGTGATAAACATGTTTCTAATAAAGGGAAAACACCAAAAAAACAGTATATAGACTTACGACGAGCGCATTTTTGCGTGATAAGTTTACGCGCGTGATAAGGTAAGCATATGTGGAAAAACAACTTAACCTCTTCTGTTTTATCGTGTCGCCGGCCATGTGTCTGCTGCTTCATTTTGCAATGTAGATTGGACGCACAGGACAGGTGCCCAGATAATGACCACCGTAATAGATAAGCAGAAAAATTGTTTTGTTTACTTTAAATTTTTTGCTTGTTACTGTTATGGTTATAATTTTGATCACCTTTGTTATTGTTTGTTGTTAGTGTTTAACTATTTTATTTGTAAATATGGTTGCCACAAAAAAAAGATGTCAACTGGAGTACAATCTCAACAAGGATGGAGGAAGTCACAGCGACTTCAGCCAGTCGTAACCTGTTCAATACGTGTACCCATAATCCAAGAATATTGTTTAACACATCTACGGGCAAATAATTTGCTAGGTGAAAAGGAACTTCAAGTTTATGAAATCAATAAAGCAGCTAAAAAAGTAGGGGTCAAATCAGTACACCTTCTGATTGGATTCAGGACAAGGAAAGAACATACCTGGCAATAGTAGGACGTAAAGCCAAGTGAAAGGGTCGAACACTTTTCGTTTCCGATAGAACATTTCAATTTTGCTCAGAATCGATAAAAAAGAAAAGCATGATTTTAGATATTCTGTCTGGCAAGGATTGGATAGCGGCGATTTCACTGTTGAACGAATGATGTTGTGTACAGATCACACATATTTAGTCATTTATTTACCATCTTATTCTATTAATGTATCAATATAGTTGTATATAGTTGTGTAAACAATTACATAGTGGTCGTTAAAGAAATCTATTATAAACAAGGGGACGGTCATGGAAAACAAAACAAGAAAATATTTCCTTCAACGTTGCGTCGTTACCTACAAAGTATTTTCTATTATTCTAAATTATCATGACCTTTATCAATCATAGTAATGATCAGTCTGATTACTATCATTAACGCAAGTGTTTGATTATTTTCAAGCTCAGTAGAGCATCACTATTACTTATGAGCGCCAATGATTGATTGATCGATCGATGCATGCATACTGTGCTATATTCAGTTGTTGAGAAATACGAAAAATAAATATGGCAGATTTCAAGTTTGAATCAGGGAGATGGTCAAGCGAGATAGTTTTGTTTCTCTTAACTATTGCACTCAACATTCGGAGTCGTATCAAGTTCGCCATAGCACCTTTAATCAATTACAAAACTTGCACCTTGCGACGTTTGTATGTAGGTAATATCTATATTAATGTAAACATAAGAAGTTTAAATTTCTTAATATCGCCTCTGCTGTACCTAGTTGTTTCTACTGACAATGAAGGAAAACCAAGAGGTTCGGGGAGTATGAACTAACTATTCTCAACGAGTCCAGCCACTACAGGCTAATATTCTGTTACGTAACTAAAGTAGAGATAGCAAGGCAGGCTATTGAAAGGCTATTGAAAAATCCTATATTGCTTTTATTTAATTACACTTGTCGTATTGTATGTGACAATGGTAGACTTTGAATTAGGAAAATTATACGGACACAACGGACGATTTGATCGGCGACCAGATTACAAACGGCTGCAGCCAGGGTTGGCTGGTTTAATATTTATATAGAACCATAAGCTAGGAACTCGGTAACGGCAGACGGCCTACCCCCATCAATACAGCGTTGTCAGAAAGCGTGAGATCCATTTTTGCGAACTACTTTTTGTTTCACTTACATAAGAACTCCTATCCAAGTCTGAATCCTCATGAACAAGAGTATGGACCGATGAAAAAGGATCAATTCATCCGGAGTCACCTTCTACACTTTTCATCTCCGCTAGCGACTATGTCTAGTCTGAACCTGTATCATCTGCTTCAAATCTGGCTCTCCTTGGCTGTTCGAGATGTCCTTCCTCTTTAAATGCCTCTGCTGCGAATGCTGAGCTAGTTTCTCAGCTCCCCGTGGTGTGGTCTATAAAGTCTGCAAATTGTTGTATGCCCTCGCTCGGGACCACTGGTGGGATACTGCCTTTCGGGACCTAACCTTGACCCCTTCTTGTCTACACTTTTGCTGCGTTTCTCGCTCCTTCAAGTGCCCGACAGGCTAGTAAGATGTGTGCTGGATAGTCACCGACCCCCAGGTCACAATGAACGCAAATTTCCAAAGGAGCCTTGCCGCTTCTGGAAAAGTAGCTTTGACAGTTGCAGTGATTTGTTATGACTTGGGTCAAAAAGTGATTGCTTTTCCTGCCCGAACAATCCTGTCACGTCTCGGTGTCTAATGAGGTCCCTACTGGCGATTTAGGGTTGCCTCTTGGGATGGTGGTCCGTCCTCTTTGCCTTTCTTCCACAGTGATTGTCCCTTCCCGCCGGTTTTATAGCTGTAGACCTGGCGCCTTTGTCCCACAGGCGCTTTCTTTCCTTAATTTTCAAATCGAAGAATGGTATTTCGGGTAGTAGCAGCTCTGTAAAGATGCTGATCATACGATAACCTTGACCAGTATACTTGTATGATATGCGGGATGCAGTCATCTTTTGAGTCGTTCGAGCTATGTTTCCGCCAAGCTGACCGATTGAAAGCAAGACCGCAAGTTGAGTGCTCGTATTCATAAGCGTTTTCTTTGAAAGGTCACTCGAGACAATTTCATTCTGAAAAGTGTTTTCATATCCTAAATCGTTGCTTGTACATACATATAACAAAAAAATGTGAAACCGACCTTAACCTAGGAATGTTACATAAAAACAACTAATTTGCTTTTGCCTTTTTATATTTGTTCAATAAATGGTAACTGAAGTTTTGAATGGTAGTGAACATGGTAGAAAAGTCGCATCTTAAATATACAGAATACGACCGTTCCTCCACCAAGAGGGACAAGAGCTATGTTTATTCTATGCTCTAGCCACTCGTTAGCTTAAATGGACGCTAATATTCTAGGTTCCTTTCAGGTTCGATGGTGCCATACGTTTAGGGCTACACTTTAATCAGTCTGTAGCCTAAAGGTGCTAAGTAGAATCACTTTTTGATCGCTTGAAAGCGTAAACAACCATAATTATAATAAACTAATCTCAACGCAATAGTCAGTCGCTCCGTTCACGGGCTTAGCAAACATAGATTGAGAGGTGGTAAAGTGCTCATCAGCAAATGGTTGTAAGGACTACCTGCACAATATTTCCTCGCCGTTGTCCCGTCCTAAGTTGACATTAGGAGTTAAGTTTATCAGCCGTTTACGCACTCGTCCGTAACAAGAGTAAACACGACGAAAGAGTACTACATTTGTTTGTTTTATTCGTTCGTTGTGAATTGTTTCACATCTAGAATCAATTTGTCAGCATTTGGTATCAATCTGTTTGTCTAGTTATCGATAATATCGTTTCCTTATGATACCCGACAAGTCACACAATCTACACTAAATATGTGCGATAATGATGCCTTTTTTCGTCAGCTCTGTTTCAATGGCGTCGTTTTCCATCTTCATTTGATTAAAGTCCGCTGAAATTCTGGCCAGATTCTCAACTACCTTAGATTCTTTTTCTTTGTCGATTCTCTCTTCTAAGTCACGAATTTCCCTTTGAATTATACCGTTACTTTCAACGGCTTCGAAAATACTTTTACAGTCCCTATGAATTTCGGTAATATTTTGGTGGACCTTCTTGGCATCCTCGATTTTCGCCGATTGCCGATTAAAAAATATTTCAGCAGCAGCAAACGTTCTCTCCAATCGGTCCGATAACAAATTCATTTCCCGCTGTTGTTTCCGATTTTCTAAGAGGACTTTCTCGATGTCTTCTCGCTGTCGGGCCACGCTAGCGACAATTTCGTGAATACGCGACAGGTATTGGCTGCACTGGGTCACGTTTGCATCCTTCTGACTGAGTTTATCCCATTCAGCTTCAAGTTGCTTGACCAATACTTTTTTCAATGAGTATTCCTGCACCATCCGCTGCCGCTGGCGCTCTAAACGTTCTATTCGTTCCCGTTTATTTCGCTGTGCACTCCACTTGGCCGAATTCTCTTGACGTAACCGCCTCAACTTCTCAATCATTGGCTGGCGATGCTCTTCCCATTCCATTGCTAATTTTGAGGATTTTGCCTGTAAGTTCTCCAGATAGCTCGTACAGAACTTTACGGCACCTTCAGGACCATGCTCGTCGATAAGTTCACTGGCTTTCAACCGAATTTTACTTGACTGCCTCTCCTTTTCTAGAACCGATTCAAATTCCTCCAACGCCACCTGAGCATTGATCATTTCGTTCATCATTTTTTCCACCTCTTGGTCGGCTACTTCTAGTTCTTCACTAAGTTGGACACTACGCTGTTCCATAGCGTACAACTCGTCCAGCGCAGACACGTCAGCCTCAACGGCTTTAGGTTCTTCCTGCTCCATTACGTCCTCTCGTGCATCTTCAGCCATCGGAAATTCCTTTTGCAGCGACGGTGAGGCGGCCTTTTTTTCTTGAACCATCTCAACTATCCGAGAAAACTCTTCGTGACTCGGTCTCGAAATCTTTGCACGAAGTGATGCATTTGCTTGGAGTATACTAGCAATCAACGTGTGTCGATCTGCAATTTCGACGACGTCAGTTGTTAAATCTATCGATACTGGTCTAAATGGCCGTTTGACACTCTCGCTACGAGCGTACGGCGGCAACCAAGGCTTTTCTAGCTCAACCCTGAGCGCTGAGGCAAACGCCTTTTTAAATGTGAAACCTGTTGTTTGCACGGGCGATGCTTTTTCATCTTTAGGTAACTTCTCAATTAAGAAGCTAAATATTCGTCTAAGTTCAACTTCGTTCGAGTACAAGAAAGACTGATAACCTAGTTCGCCCTTGAAGCCTAATGAAACGATAGCATCGGCGAGTTTCATTCCAATGTTGTATTTGGCCACCATATTATGGGGCACAGAGGTCGGAGCTGAAAAATCCGGTATTATGGCCTTTAGCAACTTGATTACGGCTTCCAGAGTTTTGTCAGCCTCAAAATCTTTCAGACTTTTAACTTCGAAGTTGCATCTCACTTGCTGCAAGTGCTCAACGATAATTCTGTCCGCATCCTCCATTTTGCACTGATATCGGCGTTTTTCTTTTTGCTTTGTTTGACCTTGCCGGTCTCTTTTCACCGAATATCGTTAACGCCCACCTAGTTACAATACGAACCGTTATTTTAGACTGTCAGGATTTAGGGCACACTGACGCACGTGACTGCCATCGACATTCAATAAACGCTTGTTCCGCTTCGCTGTTTCGCTGCGGCGTAAAACTAGCTTAAATCATTGTGAACAGGAATTGGTCACTGCGCAAGTCTACAGGTCTTGCAACAAGTTCTTCAATCGGCTCAAATTTGGTTGAAGTTTCGTCATATGCGTTAGTGTCAACAATGAGCCATTCAGCCTGCACCGTCCGATACTGTGAACATCGTCACCGTGTTATAGCACCATCCCTCTTCAGCCACTTATTAAGCACTTGGCTCTTTTGTGCCGCTCACATTATTAGGGCACTCCAACTATTGATATGTTATGTCGGTGATAATGTAAAGCGTTTGCCAGCTGACTAGCTCATCTCTCTTCTTAGACACCCGTTCGTTTTACTTGGACGTGTCTGGTCGTCTAGGAAACCACGACATTCGAACAGTCGAATGGAATCGGGAAACTGACCGGTTGGAAGTGCGTGTGTAAACACGGGACGTTGTTTCATTACGAAAAGGAAAACACCAGTTTTTCTAAACTGCTTTTTATGAGAGAGAGAATACTGTGGCTGTGTTGAGTGATTCGCACGATAAGCTCCAGAAGATAGGAGCCTCATGGGTTCAAGAAACACGGATTCCACTAATTCTAGTGTCCGCACATTGGATTACGATCGAAGTGGTGTTCGGACCTGGCCAAATGACCTGACCGGTAATTAAACGATGAAGTAAATAAGGTGGATACTGGACTTCTTCTAAACAAAAGTACTTTAGTTGCATATCTACGATGCCGGTTCCCAACATTCGCTACGGGTCAATTCTGTTTCTATTCTTTCTTGGTGCATACCTTTTTTGCCGGGGCTTTTTTCTGCATCGAAACCTTTCGATGAAAAAGTCAGACTGTCATGACCTCAGAGACTTTCACAATATCCAGCTTCAAGGGCTATGTTGGAGCGAGCCTCGTTTCAACCGTACAGTCATACTGATTATTGATGCGTTAAAATACGAATTTACCGTCACTGTCGACGATATCCACGCGCATTGGGCGAACAAAATGCCAATTTTTGAACAACTTCGTTTTCGCTATCCACAATCAACATATCATGCGCGTTATGTCGCCGACTCGCCTACAACGACTCTTCAGCGACTGACGGCTCTCATGACCGGCGGAATGCCAACATTCATCGACGCTGCGACAAACTTTTATCAAACGGCAATCATTGAAGATAACCTAGTTAGTATACACCTTTCAACATGGCTACACTTGCAGCTACCTGCTGTACATGTACTTTGCGATCGATTAGCGTAGAGCATAGTTTCACTTGGGAATAGGAATGAGAATTATTTACTTTATTAACAAACTTTTTTAACTTTAATTGCCTTAAGTAACTTTGCTTTCCGAGTTTTACTTTCAATTGTTCAATTTGTGCAAATGCGTCTTTCTGTATATCGGCAGGACGCTAACGTCTGGTTAGAGAGATAAGTTGACGTTAGAGAAAAGTCTGTGGCTTCTCGCATCTCTGTCAAGTGAAAATATGTCTCCGTGAATTGCATATTTTGTAGCTAATAGAAATAAATGTTTACTTCCAATACTATATACATTCGTTAAATATTTCCAACCTTTCTTCTGGAAATACTATAGGTATCTGTAATAAGGCAAAGCCTTTTTCAACGACACCTTAAGATATCTACTACTTGCATTAAACTTTAATGACGAATAATCTTATTCGATCCAACAGTCCAATAGTCAAGGAAGGGTGAGCCTTCTCAGGCACTAGGTTCTGCCACACCCAGGTCCAATTGGACTTGTTACGTACAAGACTAGGAAATTACTTGAGTTTCTATAACATGTTGTATTTCCTATTTTGTATTACATATTGCATTTGCCATTTCAATTGCAGAAATTAACTGGACCATCTGCTACGCATGATTCCAAGAATAGACATACAATCTCACCTAAGGCATGTTAGAACCTATAAGATATATAGTGTTATTTTTCCTCAAAATTTAGATTCGTCAGATGGCTGACAATGGCAAACGAATAGTGTTTCTTGGAGATGACACTTGGATGAATCTCTTACCCGGCGCTTTCCACCGAAGCTATCCATTCCCGTCTTTTGTTGTACACGACCTCCACACAGTTGATGATGGTATGTACGTGACGTGAGATATATCTGTTTCATTTTTATGATGACCGGAGACCTCACGCATTCAAAACTTACATATCTATCGTTCAATCTTATCTTAATCAATGATTTTCTTATCAATTCCCTATTTTTAATAGAATTAAGTTTCAATGATTGCCTGATGTTTTGCTTTTGCTTTTCTGCTTTCTATGCTTTGCAGGTATCATCTCGCACATCTACGATGAACTAGCCAAGTCCGATGTTGACATTTTGATTGCGCACTTCCTTGGCGTCGACCATTGCGGACACTGGCATCATCAGGACCACCCAGAAATGGCCAGCAAACTTAGTCAAATGAATCGGGTCGTTGCAAACATAAGCAGCCAATTACATGAAACAGACTTACTTATAGTCCTTGGAGATCATGGAATGACGCTGTCAGGCGATCACGGGGGCGATGCTGAGGATGAGATCACGGCAGCTTTATTCATGTATGCGCCTGGTGGTGCTGCTACGACTGCAGCATCAGGTAAAACTGATGGAAAGGCTTCACTGTCGCAACCTCTTGTGCGGCACGTTGAGCTAGATGAATCCAAGGTGTCGCAGATAGATTTAGTGCCTACCCTATCGTTGCTTCTTGGGCTGCCTATACCATTTTCAAGCTTAGGCCGTGTCATAGAACCTTTGTTCATTTCACAACCACCTCTGGGCAACGAACTTATTGCCCTATGGATCAATGTTCAACAGGTCCAACGTTACGTCAATGTTTCAGGTCATTTACTGAAACTGCTACCACATACCCATAAAGCCCATCAGCTTAACCGGCTATGGGATGTTCTCGCAGTTAATTTCAACGATTCGCTCAGTGCCACTTCATTACACCGTGCCGCCACGAAGTATTTAAGTCAGGTACAAGCTGTCGCTCGGAGTGTGTTTACCGTATTTAACATACCATTCATGGGCCTCGGACTTCTGCATTTGTCAGTTGCTACTCTTATCGCAGTCTTGTCTGCGAGGAAAGATGCCTTTAGTAACAGCAACAACAATAGCAATTCGATAGTACCGCCCCCTGAGTTCTCTGAAAAAGCGATGTACAATTGGGTGGTTATCCTAACAACTGGGGTATCGTGTCTGGGCTATTTCTCAAATAGCTTTATTATTAACGAAGACCAAGCGAGCTTATACTTCCTCCAGGGTTTAGCTGCCCTTGCGATGGTCGCAAGTCGTCACAACTGGTGTAACTTACTGGTCATAATCGCACTTATGGCAGCCATACGAATCTTTACACCGTACGGCTGGATATGCCGTTATGAGCAGGGATGTCAGCCGGATGCTAGACTTGATGAGCACATCATGGATCCGCTCGGTGTAATAATCGCAGTGGTTTGCGTCGTTGCTCTGGTTGGAGTAGCTATCTGGTGCATAAAAACTGGTTTTAAAGATCCCGGAAGCTATGCAAACTCTATCGGAGCTCAGACGATAACTGTACTACTAAATGTTGGTGCCTGCTGTTTGCTTGCCTATTGGTTCTTGCATATACAGGATCAAGCGAAATTGAAAGCTTTTGGCAATTATAAAGAACACCTGCCAAACGCAAGTTTCTTGTGTCTTTTAGGCCTTCAACTAGCACTCGTATTACACCGAAAGTATGCGATGGATCGGGTAACGCTGCGTCTGAATTACGTATTGTTGCATGCCGTTGGGTTAACGTTAATGTTAAGCGTCTACACGAGTCCATCTCGAGTACCTTCATTAACAGTTGCTACAGCCTGCCTTTTGCTTATGCATATTTATAGGGCAGTTCCCGAGGAGTTAGAGGGCGCTTTAGCCGTAGCGCTGATGTCGAATGTTTTCTTTGCAACGGGGCATCAACACACATTCCAACAGATTCAATGGAGGGCGGGTTTTATTGGTACAACAGGAAATAGTCTCGTGTTGCCAGGTATTCGCGTTATCCTGAACACATTTAGCGGCCACATTCTGATTGCCTTTCTTTTACCATCAGTGTTGAGACGGGGCCTCCCTAAAAGCTCTTTTGTAGCAATTCTTCTCCTTCGAATGACGTCACAGTGCTTCAGCTGCTTCATTCTGCGGCAGCATTTGATGCTGTGGGCTGTGTTTGCTATGAGACTTCTATTTGCTATTGTGGAATGCTTCGTCCTTCTTTTAGGTGTAACGTTAGGTAGAATCATATGCCAAAATTCAGCTTGTTGGTCACTCCGACATCATCTGGGAGTGCTTATGAACGGTGGAATCCCACAACATTTTACGCGGTCAGATTCGACTACGACGTCGGGATTCAATAGGAAAAAGCCTAAGGCAAAATAGTTAGTGCGACGTGGAACTTCAAATGCTGCTTTGCCACTTGTCTTTAAATAATGTTAACCAAGTACAATCGCAAACAACGAGTTGGAAAGCTTTTTCAGGTATCAATGAACAAAAGAATATGTTCGAAATCTGCACCTGCCGCCGGTCAGCGAGTACTTGTTTCTACCAGACTGTCCTTGATCCTTTGAAGGTTCGAACTATTTCTAGAAACACTTCGCAAGCATTTTATTTCACTATTTCATTTGCTGCTTTTAAAAACGGTGTATATGAAATATAGTAGGATTAGTTGATAATCGTATTTAAGCGCAGGGTACTACCACCGTTCGCTTAGTTGTGGGCAAAATCTAGATTAATATCAGATACTTAGCGTATATACAATGGAATGCTATCATTGTATTATCGAATATAAATGTATGTAGTGTCCGTTGCACAAAAAGCATGCTTTGAGTTGACTGTCAACTCTAGCGTGACAGGAAAGTTTAAATGGCAGCAAATGCTTTCTAGACACTAGTGCTCTTTGCCATTGATGAAAAGGTTTTTGCTTACCTAGGATTTGGGTATATTATACTTCGTTGAAGGACAAATAGGTGCCTGTAGTGCAAAAACCTACCTAAGCTTTTGCTCACGATTATATTATAAAGGGGCGCTACTGTGAGCATATCTGTTAACTGTTACTAAATCGTTTCTAATGTGTGTACCACAACAAAATATCGGTATAGCATATCGATGCATACTTTGAAGTTTCATTGATATCCGAAGGTCACTTCAAGCCAAATGCTGGTAGCACACGGACATGTAATATTACTCATGTTTAATAAATAAACTGTAGTTCAAGGTAGAGAGCCTTATTGGGGACGTTCGTGACGTCGACGTCACGTAAATAATATCGAACGCATGCAATTTAAAGTGTAAGAATAGAACTGTAAACTCTGTAATGCCAAATGAATTACTGAATGAATGCTTTTGTTTTACTTTACCAAAACAAAGATATTTTTACTTAAGCAATGAGCCAAGAGACAGCTTTTCAACTTCTGCAATTAGAATACTATTTTATAATATTGGCGGAGAACCATGCTGTAATTTTTTGGCGGTTTACGCTAGTAAAATCATATTAAAGATGCGCAATCACTTATTACTACCATTACCATTATTTTACAATTATTTAATTAACCAGTTCGAATTTCGTTGGCGCTGATGCAATAACGAGAAACTGTGAAGTGATCTAAATGACATTTACATATGCGGCCACATATTAAAGGTCAAGAACTTTCTGCGTAGGTTTTCAGCTTTTAGTAAGACCTTCAATATACTCCCTAGAGGTGATAGCTGAATACATGTAGTCAATGATGGTATTTTGTAATACAAATGGAAAGTGAAACTTATTATATTCACGTTGTTTTTATTTGCTACGGTCCCGTTGTCGATATATCAATGATATATGTGTATGCCACAACTACATGAAAACGCAAGTTAGCTTTATACACTTATAACATAACGCAATCGCAAGAATTTGTAAAAAAAATAAAAAGAAAGTGTTATAAGAACACGCGTATTAAAAGTGTTATATTCGCCTCTTGAAGTATCTGAAACCTCAAAAGTATACATATTGCGTTCGCTTAATGAATTGCAAATAAAAAGTAATCTCCAGATGTATTTTGCTTTAACCCTACGATTTTAAATGTACTGCAATTGCTCCAGTATCCAAGTTACAGATTGAAAAAGATTATCCATTTTAATGATCCCAATATGCGATACAGAGCTATGGCTCAGAACAGAAGCAACACTTTTTTTTTTAGCTTTGTACTCATAGTACAAAGGTACAAAATGTTTGGCAGAAGAGTTTATATAACCTGCTTAGACATGATAATGAGATTTCAAAATATCCAGTGCTAGCTTGGACACCAACAGCACTGAAAATTTAGAACCTCTTTCAACAGCAGATATATTAAACATGGTGTCTATATGCTCTAACAAATCATGAACGATGAGAATTTACATACGATCTATGTACTATTGTTGTACCTCGAGTATTTTCTAAGATTACACCGGTTATTATAAAACGTTGACTCCTGCTGAAAGTACCGAAACACACATACTTAACATTTGGAGTTCATTTATTAAGCATATGCGGTCTGCTTAAACGCTAGTATGTCGGAGTATTCAAACGTAAGCGGAAATGGAAAGTCTTTGTCCTTACAAACATTCTTGTACAGCTAATGTTGATTAAACAAATCTTCTGTAATTTTTCCGAATCAGCACATCACCCATGTCCTACTAAATTTAACGAAACGTGCCTAAAGCCATATTCACACTGAAGGTGTTTAGTTTGATTCGCCTTGTTTTTGTATGATGTGGATATAGAAGGCAGGGTCCTGGATAGCGTGGAGCGGCTGGAAGTCTCCGTACGTTTCATGGCGGACTTGTTTACCGAATACCTCCGTGAGCATCGAATGGAAGTCCTTGAGACGATGTGGGAAGTACGACAATCGAAAATACGAACTTAGTTCGCCATCATAACGACCCTATAGAGAAAAAGAACTTTGTGTAATTATAAGGGCGATATAATTACCTGAACTTTCAACCAGCCTTTCGTACTAGGGTACTTCAACCATATTTTGCACTGCGTGTGCTTGTAACTTCCTACTTCTCGTCTTCGACAGGATAATGCCAACTGTACACTTCTTCACTACTGTAAATCTAATCTACCTCCGCTTGAATAGGTTAGAATGAATAGACAACCGAATACTCTGATCCCTCTTGCATTTCATCATACGATTAGATTTGTGGAGAGCCAAAAACTTATTAGTCAGTTACTCACCTTCTTGGTAAATTCCGAATCTGTCTGCTTATCAAACTTTCCGGTAAGGCCGCTGACGTCCATGTGGTAATCGAGGCAAACTTGGTGCGGCTTGTTGTTTAGAAGGAGAACCCCCGTTTCGATCGATTTGATATGCTTAGACTGTAAGGAAACGATTCTATAAGCAGAAATATTGAGCATAGTAAAGAATTTAAATAGGAATTTCATCCTTAAGTAACATTAAAGTCATTCGAATCTCACTGTTAGCATGCCCATCACAGATGAATGCATAGCAATTTTATTGAGACCAATAGACAAAGTAAGCTCCATTTGTGCGAAATTGTTGAATAGTTTTTTCACTACATACATTGTAATATATGGAGTTGGGTGGCGTTTTGCCCTTGTCAAGGATGTAATCATAATTCCTATGATCAATAATTAGGTAGCCTCCAGGCTTGATCATTTCCCAAAAGTTGCGAATGGCCCGCACGTGTGTCTGTCCATCTTTGTGGATATCAGGCAGGTGCGAAAATGAGTTACCCAAACACACAACAGCATCAAAACCTGTAAAATCATAACGTAACGTAATGCTAGAAATAAAAGTATTTTCAATATAAAAATATAATTTTACGCAACTGAAGGAAACTTCATAAAAAAATATGAACTTCTTTACTGGAATATCTGTTTTTGTTTATTTTATGTCAACAAGCCTAAGTTTTTATATGGGTTGAAATCTTTTTGGTCCAATACTCCCGTTACTTGTGTCCACAAATTAAGTATAGACGCAGAGTGTCAAATAAACATATTGATCAACAGTATCTAAACGGTCTTCTGAGACCGAAAATTCAGACCATTTGGAAAGGCTATCTGTTATATCGTTTGCAAGTAAAACTTTTGGCATCCGAGGGTTGAATAGCATGCTAACGGTAAAAGTAATGATAGAATTGACTAGAAATTGTGGAACATTGAGGACTCACGTACCGCCAGGCGGTTTGACAATGTCGTCGGGTAGAGTAAGCCAGTTTCCTTCTTCAATAACCCAATCATCGAAGGCGGGCTCCTTCCGTCTATTCCAGCGTGTCTTCAAAGCGTATTTAAGCATACGATCGGAAGCATCAGTTGAGGTCACACGGAAGCCTTCTTCAAGTAGCATTATGGAATCAATCCTGAAGTACGGCGTACATGTGCATACATCACAGAAAAACGCTGTTAAAAATAGGTCTACAATAGTTTGATACAGGTCATAAGAGGGTTGTTTACTACCTTGGTTAATAAAATACGTGCCACAGTGGTTCGAAATGATTTTATAGTTTAGATGGAGATATTATTAATCAGATTTTTTTTTATTTCCAAAAGTACTACTCACACGGAGAACACTTCGTTATATGTTACTAGTGGAGTTACAAACTACTAACCCTGTACCGCAAGCGACATCAAGAACATGATGAATGCCAAGCTCTCTCAATTTTCCCGTAAGAAACTCTTTGTAGTGTTTTGTTCTGTCGTTTTTCTCTCCGATGTAAACCTCCCACAGCTTAGCTGCCTTTCCATCAGCATACTGATCAGGGATACCTGGATTAATTGTGAAATTCATAAATAACCACGTCCACGACACTGGACTCTACTGCTAATAGGAGAATGCGTATTTTTATCAATTTCGTCTTACTGCTAATGCCAGGCCTTCAAATGATTCTTCGTTTCTCTGAACGCTGATATCTCAGTCGTTGCGTTTGCGTTCCGTATACCTCTTTTTCATCACTATTAACACCACTACTATGGCTACGAAGTGACTATGTTAGCACTTACTGCGTTGAATTGTCTGCTATTCGTTTCTACAATGTTGTAAGTCCTATTTCCTTATCGAAATCACATAGCTACCCTGTGACATTACAGGCATTAAGATTCATTCATTCAAAGTTAATTTTGTTTGCTAAATTAGTCAGACCGAACGAAAACGAAAGCTAGCTTAACTCCCAAAACGGTAATCCTATTTGTGCTCAGAGTTGGAAATTATGATGGAGAGCTGGACATAACATTAAAGCATTTATTAAAAATTGCGAATATTTGAATAAATGAATGTAAAAAAAACATTGGAGGTAGCCCAAAGAAGCGCGATAGATGTCGCTATAGTCAGACAAAAATGAAACATTGATGTTATGAGAATCTACTCGGAAGCATACACCTAATGCAACTGTTGAACGGTTGATTTTATTCAATCTGCTCAATAAACGCTGTCTCCGCGTCAATAATACTGTGTCTTCCTTTAAACCCTTTGGGTGTAGAACATATGAAGTGGCCTAGATTCGAAGCCGGGCGCAGACATATTCGTGTTGCAGGCCAGCCGTCTAAAGCAACACTTAATGGCGGTATCGTATGTAAAACTTGAAACTTCAAGTTATTACCAACGATAGCCCTAGACTGCTGTACTGTAGCAATCAGAGAACGAAAAAAATATTACTCTGCATTGTAATATGTAATAGCCTCAGGCCTTTAATAAATCGTGCTTTTTACAGCAGCACATATCTCGTAGTCAGACACCTGGGTGGGTTGCAGACATCGGAAATGATTCTCGAGTGCATATGATCTCAAATCTTACCCTCAACTCCAACTCCGCGTGATCTTGTGTGATACACCCCATCAGCCATAGTTCCTTCTAGTTGGTGTTCTTGGTACGACTCACAGTTCTGTGAAACTTACTGTTAAAGCTGTTGACGTACTGACTCACTACTTTATCACCTGTGGGTAATGGCAAGCGCTAGACAACTGTTGTTTTTGTCGTTCTACGACACAGTATTCATGCTTAAAAATATCGAAAGCTTACAGCATTTTCCCTCGCCCCCACTGTCAATCGAATCCTGTTCGTGTCGTCAACAGATTACAGCGCCACTGCTATTGTTGAGAGATATCCCACCGAATTTTATCACTGCTACTTCTCAACTCTGTCGCACTGTATTTACATATATCTCATTAAGATGATCAGTAGCGCGTAGTTTATCAATTGTAGTATTGTCTCGTCTAGTTCTAACAGCATTTATGTCGACTTGTAATCACCGTGAAGAGGATTATCTTGAGTCGTTAGCTGTACCCTTGAATGGTTGCTCTCCGTCATGCTTTACCGACGATGACTAGAGGGCGTTCCTACTCTAGAATCGTCGATAAATTTATAACGAGGTTCAATGTTTCACGGTGGGATAGACACTTTAGACCCTTGCTGTAATATACAATCCATTAAATCGCTAGAAATATAACAAGGACGATGCTATTTAATTGTTTAGGTCGCCAGTCGCCGCTCCGGTATGCTATCTCTTTAAATAATGTCTATAAAGAAGTAGAAAGAACATCTTTTTTTTTATACGGCACTTAATTAATCACATATACTAGTGTAAAAATAAAACAGACTGACTTAATTTGATGTGAAATATGGTGGATCAGAGCCTATTAGAAATCTAAAGTTAGTTCATCGATGGTCGCGATTATCCTATTCCAAATGCAATAAGGATTTTAGCTACACTTGCCCTTAACCACAAAAAAGTGACTTTTCGAGCGGGGGAGAGTGAGACACGTGGGGGGAAAATGAGCTGCTTCGCATAACGTCACTATCACAAACCATATTTAGATAAGTTTACCGAAGTTAGTACTAGTTCACCGTAGAACTGAGAAGTTAGTCTGCTATCCATTGCAACAGCAGTAAAATGAAGATCAAGCTGACAGGGCCACTGCATTCAATATAGACTGCTTTTATATTTCCCAGAAATAGATAGAATTATCTGAGTATGCTAAGCTCGCAAGATTTTAACTGAACTTTATGTACTTTTTACCTACGCGTATTGTTTCTACAGGTGAAATCATTTTCATTAATTGGTTAGTCAAAGTCCAGGCCACAAAGCGTCGTAGTAGCAAGGTTTGGAGGTTGCTATTTAACTTCTGTAAACGAATCTGCTAGCGGCCAAAATCGAACACACAACTATTGACCTCCCAAAAGGTCCGAATTATCTAACAAACCTATACACACTTTTGAGCTTGTGCTAAGTTATATTTTGAACTTGCATTGAGACCGTACATGCTGTTCAGTTGTGGCAAATGGTGTTAATCTACCATATATGCTACACAATAACTGTGTTTAATAAAATGCATTGATAAAATAAACCTAGTGCCCTACACGATATCATGAAATAAGCATTTCTTGGGTGGTCACTGAGACGCATAAACGCTAACCGTATTCTATGTGTGGAAAACGGCACCTAAAACTGTTAACATTTACAGTAACACTCAAGAGGAGATTACACTTTAAGTCTAGAATCAGATACGAGTGTGATCTTTGACACTTTTAACAATTAGCGTAATAACTGGAATTCGGTACGAATAGACGTAACTTCGAGCCACGCAGTTAATTTTGGATCTCGAAGCAACAACGTCCGCTCTGTTATATTTCATAATTGTACTGTCCTCGAGAGCGATGCTACCTTGTTGCTCATCAAAAAAGAACTCGAATCGCATAAATTTCCACATGAGGATCTCTAAATTCACGAATTCAACTAGGATACCGTACACTTGAAGCTCGCGGAAAAAAACTGTTGAAATAAAAGAACTGCTGCTAGCCGTTCAGTGCTTTTTAAAAAGCAAGTGGAGATTGCTATATGTCTAGAAAGTTTTCCACATTTGTAGTGAATTATTATTGAATACCCGAATAAGCTGCAGTATATGATACTTTTAGTTAAAGTGTCACTTTATCAAAATATAGACTATAATGATAAACCTTCGCCTTTTTTTTTATTTAGCTTGCTATTAGGTCAAAGGTACACCGTTCGGACGCGCCACTGCCATTTGTATAGTGAACTGTAACGCACACAATCGAAGAAAGAAAAGAGTATTTTTATATGTAAATATTAACAACAACATTTTTTATTATAATATTATGCAGACTTTTCGTTTTCTTTACGCATTTAACCCCATGTCGCTGTTACTCATAAATTACTTATAGTACCACATTATCATGAATTATTTTATTGCATAAAAATTGTTCTCATGCGCACAAATAATAATACCTTAAACAACATACCTATGTATGCTATCTAATCTTCTTTCGTTCGACCAATGGACACTATCTTCTGCATGTGCTGTATGTTCTGATGTATTAAAAACTTTGCCAACGGCCACAACAGAGTTTCCCCATTCGATACCCAAAAGAGAAATACCCAGAATTTTTAAATGAATTACTCTATCAAGAAAGAAGTGATGAAGCTTCTGTTCTAATTTGGAGACACAAGCGTATGCTTAAAAAGGTGCATAACACTTTAATGTTGTGTTGCCGTCAAAGTTTCGCATGCAAAATATGAGACCGCAAGGAGTAATTATAAACTTACACTAATACTAGCATCTATTTATGTGTTTGAAATACTTCTCACTTGCACGTTGTGAAGAGTTTCGAACATTATATGTAGCTTTTCATATTTTTTAATTAATTCGTTAATCCTAATCATTCACACATACCTAATCGGATCCCACTGCAGCACTGTCTTGACTGGCATATTTTGCTTTACCGATAGGGGATAACTGGATAGCTCCATTCGTTTCCTTAAATAATTTACTGGTTGTTACGATCTTTTTGACCTTTATGGAGATTTCGTGTTGTGACCAAGTTCTTCCCTTGCTCCCAGACGCTTTTCTTTCTTCCAGGAATTGGTCGTATTCGTTTAAAACCTGTTAAATAAAAGGGCAGGTTGTAAAGTCAATGATGACACTTATGTAGACCATGAACATTGATGATCCCAATGATATCCAATAGCTTTAAGTTTTACCACCTATTAATTTCTTGTTCCTTCGGTATTGTCGGAACTATTGCCAGGCAATAACAATTTATCGATATATTGAGCGTTAAAAACAAAGAGTACAAGAAAAAAGAACTGCATTAAAGAAAAAAAATAGCGAAAGAAATTTTAAAAAATCCCTTGCATAATGCCAGTCGTTGTCGAGGATTCATGCTACCTATTCTCATTATGCTTCATATACCACGGCTTGTATATCTTGTCGGTCTCATAGTCTGACTGCCAGCGTCTCACCTTCCTGAGAATCCGAGTCATCTTGACGGGTTCTTGTTTAGCGAGAAGGATATAAACTATGCACTTCTTTAGTTTAAACTTCACTATCTTTGGCTCAGAATCATCATCCTCCGGCTGTTGACACTGTAATAAGTAAATATGAAAATAAATAAAGTTCATCTTAACTTAGAGGAGTCTTTAAGTTGGCGTGAGCTTAATTTTACCTAATGTTAGGGAGATAATACTGAATATTTTGTGTGAATATAAAAAGTTAATTTTTCAAAAATTAGTGCCACTACTTGAATACATCGGTTAAAATTCTACTCAGATGTTACTCCATAAGTTAGCAGATTTATAACTATAGTCTCATAGCGCACCTAAGAAACAACTTGCATATACATTTTGTACAAAATCTTTTTGCATTAGGAGCTTATATAAATGTACGCATAGCTTCACATATAAGAAAATAACCTTATTATAAGTTTTTGCATAAAAATCTAGAAATTATGGGATTTAACAAAGAGCAAGTTAAGACAAACTTCCAACGATTTTTTAAATATAAGTTTGTATATAAGAAATAATATATATTTATTCGCTTATAAAATTACTACAGTTACTAACTTTTATAATTCCGTTGACATAAGACTACTTAGTCTTAACATACCACTTAATTTTCGACAGTTTAAGGAACACTAATGTATATGACTTAGCATTTAGCATATTTACTCTATTACGAACATTTTTTCTTTTTTAAATCACACGTTATTATTTTTCTAACAATTTGTCGGGATTGTTATTAAGCAAACTTGTTCTGTTTGTGGAATAACATCGCTATACATAGATTTCATATCAGTTCAAAGCTTGAGCAAGATCAACTAACGAGCAAGATTGTTCCAAGCGTATATAAGAGTAGATATACTAAAGAAGCACATACACAGTATTTCTTATGGCCTACCTTGCTGTTTTTCTTCTGTGGTTCATGCTCCATCCTACTGTCACAATCCATTTCGTCTTCGTGTTCGCTACACTCAACTTGCTTCCGTTCCTTTTTGTTATGACTATTGTTGATATTGGCGTTATTGTTATTTTCAGTATTGCCGTTGAGCTGCTTGCTTTTCTTTTTATCTCTTTTACTTCCTTTCTTCGATTCATTGGTGTCTACCTCCATCTCGTCGATATCTTCCTCAGTGAGTCGAGCTGGGTTGCTGTTTCTGATCTGCACTTCTTCTGTTTTGTTGCGTGTTGAACCTGTCCCTTGCTGAGCCTGCTGCATCGCTGCATTTATTTCAAGCTTCAAATGAAGACAAATCATGCGTTGATATTAATTTTTAAAAAGAGCTATGTCGGGAGGCCAAAGATGCCTGAACGAAATACGAAATCGATTGGTTAAGCTAAATATATTGTATATTTCAATACAAAAACAGTGACAAGCCAAGGTTCATAGAACTCCTATGTATATTGACCGTTACAGTTATACAAATGGTTTTTCAATGTGTCCCGACGCGAGAGCAGTTGTAATGGACACTACTCCACATAATTACGTGGAATAGCATCCATTACATAAAAAAGTTTTCAACTATTTGATTAAAAAGCTAGAAACTTCTACATTAATATACACATACCAACTTATCGAAGACATGCTCAACAACTTTTAACGGAAATCGTTTCATGGTACACTTGCACCAGTTCATAAAAGGTTTCTTTTTGCGCGGTACATTTTCATATTTTTGCATTTCTAACAGAATCGGCGTCCACCGCTTGTCTGTCGATCGATCAGATAAAAGAGCATCTATGTTCGATCGCCATTGATTCTGCTTGATTTGACCTGTGAAAGGATTACACGATAATGCTTTTAGGTTTGGGATCAGTTCATATATAACAAGTAGTCATTTTTGCCCGCGGCTACTATCCGTCGGCAAAAACATTTTCCGATACGATTCTCGTTTACCTAAAGAATATCTACAGTAGCACAAACAATTTTTTTGTCGTATGCATAATGATTTCCGCTGAACCAAAGTGAAATTGCCGCTATACCTTTATCGTCCTTATGCTGGTTGACTTTTCCATATTTGAAATCTTCATCGGTAATACACTGCGTGTGAGCAACGTAGTCATCTCCCCAAAATTGTTTCTTGCAATCGACACAAGTTAGACTCTCGCAACGTCTGCAATTGAACTGATAATGTTTTTGCACGTCCTTCTTACGAAGGGAATCGCCACAGGCATCACAGCTAAATACCACCATCTGTAAAACAAATAAAGGTTATATCACCACCTATTATAGAATAGGTTCTTGCGTCGATATGGATGTACTATGAAGAAATAGATTGGTTTTCAAGATATGGCTAATCAATTTAAGACGTTCTAGAACAAAATGTTATATAACAACCCTTTTACTCAGTAGCTGAATACAATGGTTTCAGTTCATTCTAAGTATTGAACATCGTATTTCTTCCCACGTTGATATGTGGATATTGGTACACCGGAAATGCTTGCACCTTCATACCTAAAAACTTGTTTAATATTATGGCTCTAAAATCTGTATCGTTAAATCTACGATAAACCTTTATTTTGAGATATTATGAAGTTGTTTTTTAGCAGCTGGCTTTAAACGACGCATGGGCTTATAGCTGGCAGATCGTCTAAACGTAAAGCGTGATGTCAATTTTGAGATGTTCCAGTATGGAATACAGTTAAGCATACTGTTATGGCGGACAAAAATTAGGAACTTGCAATCGGTGCCAGAACAAAAATGAAGCAAAAAATTAATAAATGTTATTTTGAGGCGAGTATCTAGCCTTTAGAAGTAACGTTCTCATTTTCATTTTCACTGCTGGAAAATTTCATTAAAGCATATTATTTAAACTCTAATACACTATATGTGTATATAAGAGCGACATTCTATATTTCAGTCGAGTAGATATGAATAAATTATGTCGAACCTAAGGATGTTATATTTTACCTCGGTGTTAGATAAATAGCCGAAGGGTAACTGGCTGCAAAAACAATCCGGCACCTTCACTTAACATTAGCGTCGCAAACCGATTGAAGATCCTGCGACACCGTCTGGCAGATAAAAGACACGAACGTTTCGGTTCGAAGACAACTTTCTCATGTGGGCTTTGTTTTGGTTTGATGATGACGCTGATCTTTGACTCTCTGGCTGCCTTCCCACACATGTTGCGTTGGTTTTTGCCGAAGGAAGCGTTCGAGTTGTAGCCGATGGCTATAGTTTTACAAACATGATAGTTGAAGCTTGATGATCCAGAGAGTACGTATGCGTATTGCATTACGATTAATAAGCTGCTTTAAATGTGAACGGGGGGCAACAATGTTGTCATACTCACTTCGAGCCATGCGAACACGCACTGACTTACGTTTTGCCTAGTATCAATTGTACGTCATCGACGTATTACGCTTATCGAGATTGTTTGCATTAGAATTATCACTAGAGAAGTAATTGAATTCAAAGCATGCCTTCTTTAGGACACAAGCCAACATAACACATTAATGAATTATCATTACGCCTTATTCGAATTCTATCGTTGCAACCACTTCTCCAGTTGAAGCTACATAAAATAAAAAATATCAATGAGTGAAATGTACACTTCCGGATAATCAAATTAATGTACTAAATTATTCTTATTGTGGCAGGCGATGTCAAAGCAACATGGTTACTTTATTTTTTTACATTATTATTATTATTGAGTCTGTTTTCTAAATTTCGCTTCGTTTATCATTTTGGTGAATTAATACCTTGATCAAACTGTTTAAATAAGATCGGAATATTTGCCTGACTATTTAGTATTGCAAAGCTAAATATGTGCATCTTCTCCTTTCTAGTTCTGCTATTTTTTTTTTCAAGAAAATGTATACAGTTAGGAAAAGTAACGTATTATTTGGAACCGGAGGCAAAACAACGAGTCGGCGCAATCTAAAGCCGGCGCATGAGCTAGCAACCAATGATATTGATCAGGTAAAAGTTTACCCGTATAAGCCACCTCGTCGAACACTACACTACTAATTATACGTATATTTATTAAATATTTTAGTAAATGCGACTACGCACAGTCATTAGTGAATTTTAGTAGGTCAATTTTACGTCAACGGAGCTGCTTGTCAGCCAATCTTATCGTTATACAGCCAGGGCAGAGAAGCAGAACGAGTTACGAAGATATGCTGCGTTCTGGGGTACCCTTGTTTTTTGGCCGTTGACCACAGGAAATTAACGTACGTTTTTTTAACAGGTAAACTATCTAGTTTTGAGACTTTTATTACCTATTCAAATGGCTGATATGGCTTCTTCTCCGAAAAACTGTTTGGAAAAATTGAGCTCCTTATATTGGACGATATGGTATTCTACACCTTTGTACAATTCAACTGTCAATCAAAAGTTAAAGTATTCTAAGAGCATTTTGATTCAAACATCCAAATGACAGAGAACTTCCGCAAGAAGTATGATTGCTTTATATGTATTTTGTCATAGCCAAGCACCGAAAGCTTGACGAATGTTCACGTCGAATGCAAAAAATATGTTCAGCTGTGAATCTAGCGATAATGGTTGCGTAACGGTTACCATTATTGGTTTTCATTTTTAACCGACTCCGTTTAAATTGGTTCCCATAAAATCATGCACAATGGACCGTTGGCAGGGTATTGGAGCTCACAGGTGTTGGCCCTTACAAAATAAGTCGAAGAACACATGTTGCATTTAATAGTTTTCAAGTTGCTTAGTGAGCGGATCAAACGTTGTTAGTATATGATCTAAACCACACTGTTCAAGAGTGTTCTTATGGGCAATAGATCAATGTGCGTCCTTGACCTTGTGGTAACCTCGTACTGGATAAGCGCCTTCCACTACTTTGGAAAAACAAGCATTTGCCACATGCATTAATAGCGGACAAAGATAAATCTTATCATAAAGCATATTCACCTCGTAACTATGTATATATAAGGTAGAAAACAGTGATAGCATTAGAGACAGCGGTAGATTGATGCCTCCACATTTTTGGTGGCCTACACAAGGGGCCGGGTCTGCAGGAAAGCTTCCACAGGTTGGCCGCAATGGCGGTCATCGACCGATCCTTGGTCGCGCTGGTGTCCTGTTTCCAAACAAGTGAGAGGACAATGCCGTCAAAGAACGTCAAGAATCAGCGACCTCTAGGACAAAATCATTGAAACCGGCCGCCCCTTGTCTGTTACTGTCCGCATGGACGATCGCCGCCCCTGGCGCAGTCTGGTGTCACGTTGCGCGTGGCCGATAACAGCAGACTTTCTTCGATTTAGAGAATTTTCATAGATGGTGTTGCTGTGAGTGCGAACGAAAGCGAAACGAGCGCGAAAATGGTAAAAAAATTTCTACAATCAATCATTTTTCCGTTGCGAAGTTGGTCGGTTAGCGCCAATGATAATGCACAGGGCTCTATTTCTGTATATTTTCCAGTAAAATGAACGATCCATTTCAACGATATTATACAACACGTGTGATCGAATAAAAAAAAGACGCTAATCATTAAAAGAAGCGGTACTACGTTATATTAGAAGAAGATCCTCAAAAATTTCATTTCGCTGTGATAGTTTTTCGTGGAAAAACATTCGTTTTTAATTTTGCTCTAGAGAAAGGCCCGGTCCTACAAGCTGGCCAAAGAAAGGCAATGAAATCCAAGACAGCTGCGCTCGATCTATTATATATTTTCCTCTTATCTGATGTTGGTAGGCTTCAATAAATGAGCCACGTGTCCTCTAGCTTCAATGCAATACAGTAAAATAAAGATAAAAATGGGGACTGTACTCTCCGCTGCAATGCTAGAACAATCTGCGATGTTTCCTACTCGGAACTTTCAGGTTACTGCTTCTAACAGCGATATCCACAATTGGCTCAGCACTGTTGTTTTATTGTAACTCGTTTCTATTAATACACAAAAGAACTATATATAAGGGGAGTCTCTCCTACGTTGGCAGTTTGACAACTTCATTCTAAGCGCAGGAAATGGTAAGTGAGCAATGGTTGCAATATTTTCTTCAGTAACTTTTGGCCCGCTTCGGACTCAACTCGTTATTTTTTTTATCTATTATCAGCCACGAAAACCATGTATTATCAGTTACGATAATATATTGTTTTCGTGGTTACTTTTAGCGCGCCTTCTATTCCATCTATTTAAATTTAAATAACCAACCTTCAGACATGTTGATTGCTTTGGCAAGATTTCCTTTTGACCCAGCCGACTTTTGGCCCGGGTTTGATGCGCGTTGACAACGCAGGGTAAACAAATGGAGGAAAATCGAGTTGCTCATCAAAACAGAAATTTAACTGTGTGTTTGACTATTTATAGCATTAGGGAATACACGTTCCCTGCCATAACATATGATTTTATTTGAAAAGCATTGTATTTAAGAGCTATGAGGATAACCTTTTATTTATGCGAAGTACATCAGGGTTTGAGATAACAGTCATATAAACCCAGATTTGTGATTACCGGTACGATGTGTTTTTTGAGACTCACCGGACTTGTACGATTGGCCATTGTTGTAGACGTAATCAGCCAGAGATTGGCTGTTAACATAACGATTGCGGCTTGAGCCAGCCAGCATGCGCCATGACGGAGTTAAATTTAAGTAGAGCATGTGACGGTAGCAGAGAGTCTGTGTCCTTTTTTATGTTGTCTTTCGTTATTATATCAATTAACTTAATGCGAGCTAAGGAGTCAAACTTATTTATTGAGACCTTTCATTATTGAACTGAAATGAGATCTGCATGAATTGGGAGTTCTTACGATCAACATAAACGATACTAGTCCAGCAACAACAAAACGGTAACAGAACTATACGAAGGTTTGCCTTTCTAATTAGCTGAATTGTAAGGTCAATAGTCAACGAATCGACCGTCAGTCTCCTATTTCGGAGTTTTAACCCAGGAATCTATTTACACATATATCTTAACATAAAAATAAATAATTTTATTCCAAAAAATAGATAAAAAGTTTTATTAGTAACAGTAGCTGCGAAAGAAAGGTACCTTTTAGCAACAATCTTACGGCTTCTGTTGATAACCTCCAACGAGCGGCTACTTCCGACAAACATTTATAACGAATGTATACGTAGTAAGGCTCATCATATTCTATGAGATTTCCTATTCTATTAATCATGAATTATGCAGTATACTACTTATTAGGCGGAGCTTTTAATGAAATAATTATGACCTTATTTCTGTTCAAGTCTATAGCGAGATCCGTTCTATGGGCAAACGTTTCAACAATTCCATCCGCAAAGAGAGAACCCATCCGCAAAGTGCATGTCATAACGCAGGGTACCTAATTGGTTGCCCTCGTTGTGTCACGTCGGTGATGCGGCAGGCAGCTAGACGTTAACTTTGCCCACGATTGTCTTCAAGGATAACAAAGAGGAAAAAGTTGTTAGATGATGGCTGCTTGTGTAGCAGTTTCACCTGCCACTGGGCGTCTGTTTGGGTGGCACAACAGCGAATTGGGTCGACTTCGACGACATCGGGTTTCTCAGTTATCCATCCAGCTATCTTAACGTAGTTGTAAGCACGAATATCTATATTTTACTGATATACAAATATCTGCAACAGTAGCATGGATGAGAAAATTTAGACCTTGCAACTGTTAAGCAGGAAGGCATCTTCAATTTGTCATCTAATCGCGCAGCTGCAGATTGGAAGATAGAAAAAAAAAAAATATCCAAAAATTCTGCACTTTTGCGAAATTTCTATATTAACAAAAATATAACTTAAGAATTCCGCATGAGATAAATTGGCAGTTTCCAAGGGCTTTCACCATAAAATTGTACGCCATCAATAGTTAGCTAGATTTTGCTTTCTTAAAGTTGTTTATCACCCAATCAATGGGACATTAAAATAGATTAATCATAAAAATGAATAGAACAATATGTATTATTATTATAGTGATTATCGGGTTTGTATCGTCTATTTGAACAATCGCTTGGGGGTTGACGTATCGTGATGATACCGGCATTAAAAAGGTCGTTCGTCTCAATGAGCCACACAGTCCCTATGTATAGCCTGTTACTCTACAGGAGTCGTCTGTTAATGTCGCTCAGCCATCCAGAAGTAAGGGGCCAGTTTCAGACAGGTAGGTGTGCAGTCCAGGTCACAGTCTAGCCTTGTACACGTATTCATGCGAAGCCTTCCTTTTAAGCTCTCTACGATAAAGAGAAACCGCTTTGGTTTTATCGGATGTTCGGTCCGAGCGTCAAGTTATCGTTGTCGTTATTAAATTAAGAGTAAGCCGTGCAAGTCATTTTGCAATGGCTAGCTTTGCCTTAGTCGAATATAGCTAAGACGTCCTGTGTCCCGCAATAATACAAATATGCGTAGCGTATTTAAGCGACGCATGCGGTGTTTAATGTTTTGATTTTTAATTCCATTCGCAGCTTCTCAATGCTTTTCGAACATGTTTATAAATATCCCCTTTTCACTGGAGATCGGCGGCACGTAAAGTATTTGTGCGCAAGTGTACTGTTCATAGGCACACATCTGAAACGTTCCATTATTTAGTAGACTTTTTAGTCAACACAAATGCTCCTACGAACCAAATGAGCCTAATTGATATATTGATGTTAGAAACGGCTGCAATATATATCATACAGAACCATATAATAACCATTATATTCCCGTATGCCGTAAGGCAATGCTTTGTGAAGTACGCTATCCATGGGCCATCCTGTCCTATTTTAATGATGCTCTCGCGATGGTGCAAGAGTGACGCGACATGTGTGCCTGTGAACTCGAAGGACGTAGGAATGTGCTCTAGCTTTAAATTTGGGGGACGTAGGCACGTTTTAATCCCCCGATCGCCCCGCGGAATGAGTAGCGAGTGACAGCAATTTCTACTCCCAGTTGGTCTCT